CATTTTTAAATTTTTTTCTTCATATTCTGTAGGGACTTAAAGTTTAACATATCAATACTTGATGGAAAATACCTGTTCCATGTGATGCCTAAGATGTTTGATATTCAGACAGATAGTGAGGTTAAGCTCAACTGCCTCTGTTGTAGGCTAATAATAATAAGCTTCTCTGCTGGAGGGTTAACAAACTAAGTTTGCAGGCCAAAAATTAGAGAAAAAGAAGGCCCCATAAAAGAGGAAAGTGATCGATGATGTAAAGTGTGCTTAAGGAGAGTCACATGGAAAAAAACATTCTCTCAGACTTTCACAGAGAGCACACTGGCCAAACAATGGCTGTGACTCATCCACATGGCTGACACTATTCTACAATTCGAGGTACAGGATCTCAGGATAAAGCCTGAGGGGACCTTATCATTGACCTTATCAGATCCAAAAGCTACAACTCTTGTTGCATAGGTCTTGCTTTATCTTGGTCTTAACCATCCAGCAGGAAAGTATAAAAACGAAGTACAAGCAATAAAGCCATGTTGTAATGTTGGGCTGTAGGGGACTCAGGTCAACAACTTCTGACATTGCCAGTCAAGAGGAAGACCCAATACTATTATGGACTACTGGACTATTTTGGAATATTTTGCTGAGTTCACACACCTATAATATTTAAATGATGGAAATCAACAAAAAAGAGGATATAGACGAATGTCCATTTTGTATCTGTGTATTTAAAATAGTTAGGATAGATATATAGCTACATTCTCTTAATTCAAGGAATAGAGGGATTTGTTCTAATTGTGTTTATAAATTGGCTATCATTTCTGCATCTTGTACAACAAACAACCACTAGGAAGGTGGTATGCAATGTGTTAATTATTGAAACTCTTCTACCAATTTGATTTGAAACTGTCTCATTGTATTTATTTCTCAATAAAATTATGGAAAAAAGAAATAAAACAAAAAATATGCTAAAAATTTTTAAAAATAAAATAAAATATGCTAATTTTTTTTTCAGAAAAAAAAGAAGGGCTTCAAGGACAGCCAACATTTTG